TCTGCAGGCACCAATGTATAACAGCTCTCTAAAAAGCAAACCAGTCTTGCTGATTAATGTAGGCCATCTTTAATTTTCTCTGCACTCATTTCTGTACATTCTCATTTCATTCCTGTGCTATTATGGTGGGCTCTCACTGCTAAGTGCACTTAAATGTGACTGCAGCCATGTGAGAGAGGACCCCCCTCCCTCCCTCCCCATCAGGGATGCGGCTGCAGTGAAGCTGGCACAGCCTCAGCCTCTGCCCAAACCCCCAGACTCCAGCAGTGATTCACAGCAAGACCTCAGCACTGCTGCCCCCGGCTCCACGAGCATGGTGAGCCCAGGACTATTCTTTTATCACCAGTCAGGCTCAAAAATCAGCACAAGATTAGTCTTTGACTGCTGGGGTAGACAAGGCTTTGAGGTCCAAACCACTCCTGCATTTCATTTCTCCTCTGTGATGCAATAAGACTGGCTGGGACAATTTTCTGCCCCCCATTCACCTGTCATAGGAAGTCTTGGTTGTGTGTGGAGCAATTCATTGTGTTAGTGCTATCATCAGGGAGAGAGCAGAGCACTGTGCCTCCAGCTTGCCTTCCCTAAATTTTGCCTGGGCTCCTGTGATGTTTTAGTGACAGTCCAGTATTGCTGGCAGTGCTACTTCAACTCCCTGCTCATCCCTGGCTCTGCACTGGGGCTTCCTTGTGTGCAGCTACTGCTGTTGATCCAACTCCAAACTGTGTTCAGTAATAGCAAACTATTGCAGTAAAGATCTCCATTGTTTCTCTATGCCCATGGGTGCACTTTGACCCTCAGAGCCATGCCCAGGTCTCAGAGTGGTGTGTGGTTGCACAGGGCTTGGTGCAAGCATAGCTGGTGAGGGGGAAGGGATTTTCAAAGGGAGTTGCTGTCAGGCTATGACATCATGGCCCCAGGGTATGAACGAGGGCATGCTTTGTAGGCAGAGGTGATATGTTTCATTAACTGAAGTGATAAAGTTAAAAAAAAGCCCAAAGTTTGGGTACGATATTTCTGTGTTTCAGGTATCTCATAGGCAGTCACAGCCAGTCAGGGTATGATCTATTGGAGTTCATGTGGGCTCCTTGCTCAGTTATGGCCATTCAATCAGTCCTCTCCCTCAAGCCCCGCCAGGCTGATGGGCGCAGCCACATTTCTCACATCACTAAATGCAGAAGTGGGGGTGGTATTCAATAACTTTTCTCAGTGCAGCCACAGTGCTTTTTCAGCTGTTTTCCAGCTCAGTTCTGTAGCCAGTGCTTTGGCCACATGTCCTTTCAGCAGCGTTTGCTGCGACTCTGCTACTGAAGTCTCTCATTGAAGGATCTCCCACAGCAGGACAGGATTACACATCCCCTGGGGAGATGCAGCTACTACACCAAGTAACTGCCACACAACATGCAAGAACCACAGGAGAACAGTTTTTATCACCATGCTCCATTTACACCATGAAAACAATTTCTTTTTCCTTTGTTTCCTTCAGTACAGCATGACCTTCCATCGGCTTCACAAACCAAGCAGGGCAGAGGTAGTGAAGGCAGGTGAAAGCAAACTTATTTTGTTTACACTTGCTCTGACTGCCCAGGTTTGTTTGCCAAGTAGCCCATCTTTGACCTATGGTGTGTAGAAGGATCACTCATCTCCCATTCTAGGCAAGGATGCAGGGAAGAGCAGTTGTTTGCATCTCTGTTCAAGCGATTGACAATAAAACAACACCAACAAAAGAAGGAGTTTGTGCAGATCCATGAGCTGAATATGCCTGTTTGAGCATACACTGACCTAACCTGTTGCTATAAGGCAGTGGCAAGCCCAGCAAACACCCAGGCTCCTTACCTGAGCATGGGAGTGGAGAGGGGTAGGGGCTGGATAGGAAATGCTGGGGATAGGAGCATAGGACCGTGCCAGCCCCTCATCCTCTCTTCTGGGGCAGTGCTTTGGGTCTTCTCACTGCACCTTTCGTCCCCTTCTCTCCAGCCTGGCCTACTCCCCCTGTGAGGGGCACAGCCCAGCTCTATGCCCTCCCAGCTCCAGAAAGGTCAAAGAGGCGACCCCCAGAAAAGCAGAACAGGACAGAGATAGGTGGAAGCATGGAAAAAGAAAGAAAAACTTTCTCCATGTAACACAATAATTTTAAATATAGTTTTTATGAAAGTATAATATATATTTTCACATATTTTTTTCAGATTAATTCCAGTTATTATCTTCATATTACATATTCTTTACACATCCAAACCAACAAGCAATAGATTCACATCTCAAGTTCAATCAATACTCTTAATCTCAGAGAAAGTTACAGTGTAGAATTGGACTTTCATCTTTACTGATGGAGTTTCAGGCCTTCCTTCTTAAATAAATAAAATTGCCTCCAGCTGAGAACCTCCTAACTGAAGTAATGGAGATATTCAGAGATAGCTGGGAAATCTCAAAGCTTTGCTAGTTTTGCAAAAAGAAAACAGAATATACACACATTTCCCCCCTTTGTAGAAATCACCTAACTTCTAGTTTGCCTGTTTTCTAAAACCTGCACCCATTATAATGAGGGAATAGTATTTTCCTCAGCTTTAGGTTAAATGAACTCCAATTGTAATCAATTAAAACAGTTATTGAAAAACTGTATAAAGAATTCAGTTCTGAAAATAGAGTCTAAAGACTCCCAAATACGAGAGAGCTTGTGAAAAATAACACAATCCCCAGTTCACATTGTATACATAAAGATGTATAGTTGTGGGGGGGGGAAACAGTTTTCCCCCTGAAGTTATAAAATGGTAAACCCCTAGGGGGTGGTAACCCTTGGGGTTTGAGCCAATGAGCGCTTTTGCAAAATATAAACATATCACAAGCAGACCAGAAGAGCAGGTGTAGTAGTAGTTGTCATGTTGAAGAAGTAGCCATGTTGTGAAAACCACGAGCTGAGGGGCCCTCAGCCCCACAGGGGGCTCTGGCCCCCCCCAGCCCCCATCTGGGGGGCTCCAGGGACTTGGAACAGTGTAAGACTGGGCTAAGTGTCTGTAGCTGAAAGCTGAAGAAGTTTCTCCACTGTGAGCAGCAGAAGCAGCAGCAAAAACAGTACTGACCGAGGGAAAGTGGTGGAGAGCCAAGAGATAACTGAAGAAGCAGCAAACAAGTATGTAGCTGAGCAGGGAGACACAGAGTTGTCTGAGAGACAAGAGCCAGCAGTAGAGAGAGCAGAACTAAGCTCTACAGAGACAGAGTTTGGGGTAAGAACTGAATCAAAACCCTCAAACTCCTTTTGTGACCTCTCCTAAGTGGAGAGGATGGACTCCTACTGAATGGAAGTCCTAAGATGCAGCAGGCACTGCAGAGAGGAGCTGAAAAGCTCAAGCGTCCTGGAAAGCTAGACCAGGATAGCCAAAGGAATGCAGAGGAGGGCTTTCGCCCCCCCACTGCTTTGAGACAGAGCATGGAGCTCTGCAAAGGGGGCTTGAATCCCCTGAAGATATGGACCATCACGAAGGCTTCTGCATTTCGTTGATATGACTGTGGTGAGGCGACCTTTGTCCGCGTGAACGCAGCCCATGGAAGAGAAGACCCGCGCTTGGAGACGAAGGGCCAAGAGGACTTGGATACCCCCTTGTGTGTGCTGGCAGAGATCCAGCTACAGCTGCTGCAATCAAGTGAGATAGGCTGCTGCCCTGAAGACACTGCTGCTCTGAGAGTGGAAAGGATCTTTTCCTTTCTCCCTCCTGGACTTTTATTTGGAAGGGAAAAAGAGATTTGATCCATTGTAAACACTGTTTTGTCATGGTAGAGATAGTTAAGATTGTATATAATGTATTGTAGTATTTATTTTGTACAGCCATTGTAATATATTCCCTTCCCCCCATTTTGAGTCTTGTGTGGTGTCTGGAAAACCCATCTCACACTGAGTTGAGATGAGGGAGGGGGGCTTGAACTCGAGAATTGAATTTTGGAGCTCTCAAACCATGACAACAGTTCACTTGCTAACATCTGAGGCCAGGGTCCTAAGAAGAAAGCAGTATCACCACAAACAAGGCTGGAGGGGACCTGAAGAGGAGCTCTTGTCCATGTCTGCATCTGACAGTTGGACCAGCTCTACCAGTGCCATCTCTAATGAGTGCTTGGCCAATCAGTCCCAAAAGATTACCTGGGTGGAGACTGAGCAGCCTCCCCAGGCAGTTCAGAGCAGTATTTAACTACTGCTGCTATAAGAAGGTTTGTTCTGATCCCTTAATCTGCCTCTGTAACTCCATCCCTTCTCTCCTGGCCCCATTCATAATGGGAAGAATTTATTCCTTCTCTCTTCCTAGCCATATCTTTAATATACTGTTCTCATACCTCAGTCTCCTTTTCACCAAATGAAGCAATCCCAATGCCTTCAGCAGGCCTCTGGGAGCAGTTTTCACAATCACTCTTCACTCTGCAGTTGATCCACGTTTTGCAATTTTTGTGGCAATTTTTGGCTATAACTTTTTTGCTAAAGTTTTACCAGCACTGTATAGAACACTTGGAAAACATCCCAAACTAAAGGCCCATGTGTGTAACCCAACATAAAGTATGCCTTTGTTTTTCAAAAGCATTTAATTATTGTTGCATTCAGTTTGTGATTTATTTTTCCAAGCCTTTTCTGGCCTACTTCCTCCCATCCACTCACTCCCTGTCTGTATTTGCACAGTTAATATGTGAAGACTCCATTCCACCGTCACTTCCCCAGTGGCTTATAGAGGCTAATGGATAACTATTAATTTATAATCATGCTACAAAATGAAAGGCAAAACCATCTTCCCAGAAAGAAAAGTTAGAAATACCATTTAAAAATATTTTGTGCCAATAAATCATGTTTGATGTACTCATGCTTACAGAACAGTGATTTTTTAAAAAAAGGCTCTGTCAGATACTTCAGAGTGTAATAGTTTGCCAGGAAGAATGAAAGGGGGAGACTATTACTTGTCTAGAACAGTTTTCCTACTTTGCCACCCCACCCTCCTTGTTTGTTTTGTTGTGTTGTTTTTTTTTTTTTAATTCCCCTTTACTTCCTTTCAGAGATAGCAAGGCACTGTTGTGGATTTGGGCTCACGGGAACTAAATACAGGAGGACTCTAAGCACCACAAACCCGAAGTGCTTGCAGCCCTCACTTCTGCAATATTTATTTTGAACATGCCAGAGAACCTATCCACTTTGCAACTTTTAGCCCCACAAATCTCTTTATTTCAGGGTTTCCTTCCCCCTTTCTTCAGTAGAAATGATGAGTGTAATTGCCATGGAAAGATGTAGTGATCTAACCCTCAGCCTGAAGCCCAGGCTCAGGGCAGGCAGGGAGACCAGAGGCTGCTAAAAGACATCAGTTATTTAAGTAAGAGCACATTTATCACCTGATTTCTCTGGTGAGAGTGACAGTTGTGGTGCTGAGTTACTTGCTCTAGTTCAGAGAGAGACTACCCTCAAACTACCATCCCTGAGTGACCCTCCTTTGAAGCAGATAAGGTGCTGGGTCTTACTAGAGATCACAATTCCTTCTCTTGCATGAAAGGCTGTCAAACACCAAGCAGGGTGGGTAGAGAAGGAAGTGGAAAAATAAAAGTAGTAGCACAGGAGAGACATTAACTACGTTTCTCGTTTTCTGACTAAGCAGAGTGAGCAAAGTTTGAAAATGCATGCTCCTGTAAGCCTTTTAAAATTAAAATACCTGAGTGTATATGAAAAAGCATACAAGATAAGAATCAGAGACAAAGCATTTAACATCCCACACGTACACTTTTACAAAGTTACAGCATTTTTCCCCTCAGATAATCCATTTTACGTTCCTAATTATTTCTGCACTGTGTAAAATATGCCTGCATATAAAGTTTACAATGGCCTCTTTTGCACAGTTTAGACATATATACAAGCCAAAAAAAAAAAAGGTTTTTTTTTAATTAAAATGTCAAGTACACAATTAGAGGTTGTAAAATATTTTTTTAATTAAAAAAGAATTGTGTGCAAAATTAGACAAAAAAAGACTTTTTTGCTATTTCAAAGAACACAAGAGATCAGAATTTTACGTTGAGGCTAAACTATGTCTGTGTTAAGAGCAGCTGAACACTTTATCAAGGAGAAACCCTCAAGGACTTGCATGATTTCAACGCCTGTGCTCTAAATGAAGGGCTTAGTGGTCTGTGTGTGCATGTTTGAAAATTGTGCATCAACTTGAACACAGTTAGAGGTCCGTCTGCTGATTTCCAGAGATCTGGTGATTTTTTTCTCTTGAGCACAACTGGCTTGAGAAGCAGTAAAACTGGGAACATAATGATAATCTCCATCTATGCTCGCTGTATTTGTTCAAAACATCAGAAAGGGTGGAGGAATCTGCACGAAAGAGTTGTGCAGGTCACTGAACACTATGATAAAAGCAAACATTTATTTTTTGATTTCCAAAATATCAAATATTTGTTGAAGAACCCAAAGCTTTAGTTTTCACCTTACACACACAGGATTTCAGTGACATTGCCTATTAAGAAAACAGTGCTTCACTAGGAGTATGCCAGAATTAATGCAATTATCACATGACCTTTTACCTCTCAAGGTGAAGTTTTACAGTCAACTCCAACACAGCAATGCCATTACTGTCCCTCAGTGTCTGCTTTGTTCACTTCTACCCTCCCATCTCTGGGCCAACACAGGTACTCGCACAGCTAAGCTGTAAACTTGCTGAAAACGGATTAAGAGGCAACCCCCATGGGTTCTTCCAGTTAGATCAGCTTCCCAGCCTAGTCACTGCATGGCAACACTCACTACAGACAAACAGCTGCGGGGTGGGAAGCTATGCAGCATAGTTTAGGCCGGGATGCTAATGAGCACCTAATTATGGACTCAGACTGTCAGCTATAGGGATGGGGTTTAACTTTATCAGCAGCAGATAAAAGCCAGTTTGTTAGCCAACTACTTGAGATGGTCACTTCTGCAAAGCACATGCAAAAGCAGCACACTTTGAGCAGGTGACAGTGAGGTGATGCTGCAGGTAAAGATTCTGCCCAGAAGCAGATTATACCCTGGGCTAAGTTACCTTTGCGTCAAAAGCAGGAGAACAAAACAGAGGACTGAGGGGAAGCTGAAGAACGAACAGAGGAAAGAAAAGGGCATAAAAGTTCTTTGACTATATGTTTTTAAAGGACTAAAGAGTAGAGGACCATTTGTTATAAATATATTTCTATACCTTCCTCTGAGACTACAGCACATGATAAAGCACCTGGTGCAGTCACCAATACATTGCTTTGCAGTTCAACTTGCATTTTTCTGCACAAGTGCTTTCTGGGTGACTTCACCCTTTGACTGTTCCTATACAGAAGATCAAGTAAACCAAGCTTGAAAGGCTCAAGTGGCCTGATCAGAAAGCTCACAAAGGCAAGAGAGTAGCTGCTGTTATACAAACAGTTTACTTCATTGCTGCAATTTTACATCAGCACGAGGCTTAGAAATCAGATTCTGTAGTTACCTAAGAAAGTAGCTCATTCTGCCTAACCAACACTACATCCTAGTGCATTGCTAGAAGTAAGATCATCTCTGCACTTTGTTCCACAGAGGAAACTCTCTCTGAGGATCTTTCTCTCAGTACTGGTATTAAAGCTTGAAGTAGCATGCATTTGAAGCCCTGGGAAGCATGTAAAGCAGCAGCCCTTACAATGACTGGAGTAGTCAAAATCTTTTAAATGATGGTTTTAACAGCCAAGGCTTTTATACATTGCAGCATGACATTCTAGAAATAGGAAAGACTAGCTGTGTTCCCAGGGCAGCAAATGAAAAGTTATGTTGAATATGGTCGTTATCTGAAGCAAACACTATGATGCACCCAAAACCCATCTCCTGGGGTTCATATCCTTACCTTCTCTAAGGAAGTCTAACTGCTGGGGCCTTTAAATGTAAATCCATTCTTTGGACACTGTCCTGGCAGGATCATATGTGTGTACAAGTCCGTCCTCTGCTGCATACTACAAACACAAGTTAAGATAGAAGCAATCAGAAGCCAAACTAGTGCAGAAGAGAGCCAGCAGCTGGATATGCAACCTTAACCTTTCTTAAAGCCCTGGGCAGACAAAGTTCAGGCCACAATTAGACATTCATAATGCTTCCATCACCACGGCATCAAGAGCAATTCAACAACAGAAACCACACTGGGGTAATCAGCCTCCTCTAACAGCACAACACAGGGGTACACACAGTATTTTGTTGAAGATCACTGCCTCCAGACTCCGGCAGTCACAACTGACTGGCCTCACGAGAGTGTCCCTGGAGATCAGAGATAAACACATCTCCTGCATAGCCACACACATTCTCAAAGTCTCTAAAGGGAAAAGTTAACAAGTTCACTACTTGGAAGATTTGCATAGACCACTTATCCTTCAAGTTGTCCTAATACTGAAGGATGCCACTGGCTACTCCTATTTATTATACAATTTTAAGATGAAAGTTAAAAACAGTGAAACAAACTCATTCTCCAAAGAGCCCATACTTCTTGTTCAAAGCCACCTTGATAATTTTGTTCTATCTCCTGAGCATGGCTTCAAGCACCTACCCATTTCCATCACCGTTTTCATGCTATTACTTAAACCTAGAATAACCTCTTCAAACTACACTAGAAAGGTAGTTCCCAGACTGCCTCCACTTCTGTTCTCCAAATTCAAGGCTACGAAAATATCATGAGAAAGTTTCTGCTAGACATTATCAGTCTTCCCTTTCCTTGCTTATATTTGTGTTTAAATCCTTAGCTAAAATGATATTTATGAAGACTGACTTTAGCTCAAAGGCTACTGCCTCAAGATGCCTTGTGGAAGACTCCTCCCTCACTCCCCATGAGACCTACAGTGTTAGCCTATATTCCATCCCTCTAAGTTACAGTTCATCTTCTTGAGTGCCTCTGCACTAAGTCCAGTAGCTGCATTTGCCTCCAAGCATGTGTTCTCACCAGTTTTTAGTCTCGCCCTAAGTTCCCACTATTTGCAAAGCCCTGGGTCATCTTTATGGAGCACAGTATCGAAGGGGATAGTTTAGTCACAGCAAACAAATCCAGCAGCAAAGCCATTCCTGGACACAGCATAAACATGTTTGTGGCTTCTCTTCAAACAAACCTTTTCAAAGGGTTTCACAAAGCAAATGAAATTCAATGAAGTTTAACATCCTGAACAACTATCCATGTCTAGGAGAGTTGCTTTTTCCATAGGAACTGCTTATAACGCTTTTTTATCTCCACAGTTTTGTGTTCCTGGGTACCTTTGTGAATAATTCTTCACTAAACAGCAGAGAGAGTCTGATGCCAAGGACAAGACTTGTAATCATTTCTATCAATTTTGAGCCTATTGTCAGAAAAACAGCTGAAGGAAGGTTTTATGCTGTAGAGTAGCATTTTCATACAAACTCATCACAACACATCTCACTAATGGTTTCCTGCATGCCTTTTCCATGATATTAATAGCCATACTAATCCCTAAAAAATACTACCACAGTCAATATACCTATGTACTGCTCAGTTTCTTAAACACAAGATCCAGGGGTCACCTAATGACACTAATGAGGCTGAAAATAAGTCTTCCCCTTTCCATTCAGTTTTGGAACTTATTGCCATCACATGTTGTCTCCAACCCCATTTTTTAAAAAGTAGCTACAGAGTAAGGATATGAACCCACAGCAGATATGTCCATCCACAGTTTGGATGTCAGATCCGGGCTAATGGTCTCTATTACCTCTCTGCCAAATATACCTGAGGGAGGAACTCTCCAGAGCTGCCAGCAAGGCAGTATTTGCTTCCATTTATTTCTGTTTCATGGACTTTTTAGACACAGCATCTTCTGCAGTCAATGGCAACTGTGGGATATTAAAGGTTAGTGCCACGAAGGAACATACCTGTCTTGCTTTAAAGCAATATTAATGCCACAAAAATATAATTTATTCAGGAGTAATAAAAATTCTTTTCTTATGCCCAAAATACTCCATTTGTAGATGACAGAAGCTTTGATATTCTTTGTCAGGTCTTTCATAGCCTTGTTCCAATTGCCACAAAACTGTAGCTACTTAACTGTTTTGTTTTGAATTGGCAGTTCCAGAAAATATCCTCTTTTTGCTAAAATGTCATGTAATCCACATGACTATCCATCTAATGCTAGACACTTGTATATATGTGTAATATTTAATAAAAAAAAAAAGAATTATTTTGCTCTTGGATTTAGTGAGCAAGATGCACCACTCGAGCCTATTTGCACCTGCACAGCTTTATAAAAAAGAGTGTCATTAACATTGGGTCCTTTTGGCCAGCCAGCTGAGGCTACCAGAAAGGATAATTTGTGCATCTGCAGTAAGAGAGAACTTAAGATATAGAATAGTTTAAGTTTTTCTAGAATTCCTATGAGAACAGTGCCATTACTTCCAAAACTAACATGAAGAGTAAGGAAAGAGACCTTTTGCCAGCTTTCTTTGCAGAGTTCTTATTAGTGGGGATAAAGGGCCCAGTCCCCAAAGTAGACCATGATGCAGCTTTCTTAAGTAAACTAATTTAGTAAGGCAATACAGAGGTAGCTTGTATCACCACTAAAAAAACCCACCAACAAACCAAATAAACAAACCACCCTCCCCCCCAAAAAAAAACCCCAAAACAAAAAAACCCAACCAAACAAAGCACCAGAAAACAATGAGACAGACTCCTTGGGCAATCTTGCTTTCCTTTTGAAACACAGCTACAGCCCTTGTCTTTGGGACATATCACTGTTAAACTGAAGTTCCTCTGCCTCCCTGGCCTTTGTAAGAGACAGGCCACAAGAACTTGCTGTAGTGGCCATGACAGCTTTACCTGGTGCTCCAGAGAACAGCTTTCCCACCATCTCGGCCACTTGGCCCTGCTGCTGTGCTTCCATATGCTTTTCCCTCAGCTTTGGTGGGACAGCATTTGCTGGGGCAAGAGCGTTTCCCTTTCAGTTTTCTTCCTCACCTTTTTTTTTTCCAGATGGAAAAGCAGGCAATAGAGGAGATGGGTAGTGAAAAGTGTCCAGAGAGGGATACAAGACAAACATTCCAGTCTATCTTCCCTAATTGTCCAGAGAGGGATACAAGACAAACATTCCAGTCTATCTTCCCTAATTAAACAAATCTCAGGAATAAATACTTGCATGTTTTACATCAGGTCAGACAGAATTTCTACAGTTGTTCTAAGTAGTTGCATATCACTATATAATGATGCAGAGCAAGGATTTAACTCTTAATACCCATCCAGTTCTTGAAATCAAACATGGTATGAAGCATTTCCCAATGCAAACCTCTTTTCCTTATGAATTGATCCTTCTTGATCTAATCAGGCAGATTGGATTTTTTTTCCAATCAATATTTCTGAGATTGTTGTATTCTCCAAAGACCCTCAAAATAAAACAATTAAGTTTCAGAAATCAGTTTTGGATGCAAGAACAAGTTTTCACATCTTGTAAAGGTTGATGTTGGCATTTATACCCTTAAAGGGATCCCAAACATTGATCACTAAAGTATGTGGAAACATTGAGGAACACTGTCTCTCCTGATTTCCTAACATTTTTCCATTACACATTTGCTTAACAGAAGGAAGCTGTGGTTTATATTACAAGTGGGTGTGAGTTGGGAGCAGTCAGCACACATAGCCAAGCAGGTTTTCAGATCTCTGCCAAGTATCTTGCAGGTCAATCAACAGAACCACAGACATATCCAGCACTATTTGCACATAGGAGCAGATATGTGCCTAGACACCATCTAGAGGTCTCATTTCTCTCCCTGCAGATTTTCGATCCCTGTTTTTCCTATGACTTAGTTCTCTGTAGTCTTGAAAAAATCTTTTGTTTGTTAAGTATTAACTATTTTCTGCTTTGTGACAACAGATACTGAAGATAACCTTTTCTCAAGCTACTGATTGACAGCTTCTATTAATTTCAGGACTCTAAGACAGGTCCTGTGTTGCAGGATAGTCTTACTGCATATACCTCACTGTAATACACAGAGGAACACTAGTAGGCAAAGAAAACTTGTCAAACTCATCCACTAGCATTTCAAGATTAAATTATCCCCCCCTTTGTGAGGTCTAGGAAGCTCAGCAGACCCTAAGCAGCTCTGCAGCACCCCAAAGTCAGATCCTCTGACTGAAGCCAGTAGAAGGACCAGAAAAAGCAATGGACACACATCATCCATTTTGACAGATCAGTCCAAAATCCAGTGAACAGCAGATTTTTTTCAGAGACTGCAAGGGATTTGCAACTACTTCTTTGGCTGGCACAGGACATGAGTATAATGTGCACATACACACAAGCTTGCAGCATAATGCCTATAATGTTCATTGCTGGAAAGCAGCCCCAAATCAGGAGGAAATGCAGCTTTACTATAAGGCTTTTTTAGAAGTGGTTCATACAGAAGTTTGAGAGAAGTAAAACTAGTTAATTTTGTAGTATAATTACCAAAGTTGAAAGTTTTAGCATGGTACTTTGTTCACAAAAACTAAGAAGACATGCTATTAGCAAAAGTATTTACATAACCAGAATAATTTTCCTTTTCCAAGACTGAAATGTTTATCCATTTAAAGAAAGGCCATGTAACTTGACAAATAGCAGGAGTGGTAGCACTAAACCATCAGATCATCTGTTAATCAAATAGAAACACTTAGATCCCCATGGCTGCTGTTTAATCATGGACAAATATCACAGACTCTGTTCTCAACAAGGAAGACTAAAAAAAAATGCTTTCAGGTCTAGAGGAGCCTTATTCCAAGATCTACCTAACTCTACCCCTGGAAACACCAAAAGCTCCTTCAGTACAGATGCCTTCCCCACATTTAACCAGATAACCTGCTGTCCACTCCATCTGACTACAGCAATCAGCTTCCCAACTGTGTAAGTTGATGGTAGCATGACGACAAGAAGCAGTGGGAATGGAGTCAGAAACACCTTCTGCCCTGGGTAGTGCTGGGACTTTTAACACACCCCATAGAAGGCTGCTTCTGAGTAAAGAGAAGTATCCAGCAATATATCTTTGTGCCCTGAATAATCCGAGATCACTGCAGTGTTTAAGAGAGCCACTTGCATGGATGACACACATGCCTTGAGGCACAACAGACAGATCTCTCCCACCACTGAACTGTGTTGTAAATAAGTTAAAAGGAAAAACTACACTCAAACTGATCTCTGCAGCAAACTTGAGCAATGTTGTAATCCCTCAGACTAATCCAAATGTTTTACCAGTTAGCAGAGGAAAAGTCAGAAGACAACAGTGAGAGCTGCTAGCTGAAAGTCAAGTGATTCAGTATGTTACACAAACAAAAGGAAGAATCCATGGTGCCACTTTGTATGGTGGGTTGAGTAAGTCTTGGACACTTGCTACCAGAAGAAACATTTTTACAGGCTTACCAACTTGGAAGGAAGGTGGAGTTCATTTTGTTTTTTTCATTTAAATAATTTTACTATCCTGATATACAGGTACCCATTGATCCTACAGGTACCCATTGATCCTACAGGTACCCATTGATCCTACAGGTACCCA